TTTTCCAAACTACGAGCGCCCGCGTGCATTCCGCAAGTACCGCTGTGGACTTCTTCCAACGCCGCCTGACCCTCTTCCTTACTCAAACACCTTAAATATGTTCCGGAATGGGATCTCTTGTACAGGCGCCCCTCGATTATGGAGCACCGAGCCGCCTTGCGCCTCAGCCTCCATGCCTCCTTTGGGTCCTCTGGGACTGTACCAGTCGTCAAGTATCCCAAGATGGGCGCCATCCAACCGTCAGTTTCCATAGAACCCTCCACGGTTGCTACCACGTATTCCTGTGGGACCTCCTTTGTGACGATAACTTTCCTTTCTTCAGCGAAGTCTAAAGCCGTGGCCAACTTGGATAGTGCATCGGCATGGGCGTTTTCTTCTCTTGGGATGTGCACGAAGTCGATCTCCCTGAACCAGGCGCCTTCTCTTCTGACCGCTTGGACATAGGCTTCTAAGGCTTCCTCCTTAACATCGAACGCCCCATTGAGCTGGTTGACCACAAGGGCCGAATCGGATCTGACACTAACATGTTGGGCGCCCAATTCTCGTGCCATGCGAAGTCCCGCTACGACCGCTGCATACTCAGCCGCATTGTTGGTTTTAAGTTCGGAGAACCGTAGAGCAATCTCATGCATGACTCCGCTTGGGCTAATAATTACTATTCCTGCACCGGCGCCCACGCGACTCGCCGCCCCGTCTACTTGAACTTGCCACGTCTCCTGGTCGACCCCTTCGGTTTCCACTATTCCCTCCGCCATGAAATCGGCAATCACCTGTGCTTTGATGGCCGGTCGAGGCGCGTACCGGATGTCGAACTCGCTCAGCTGAACGGCCCATTTAACAAGGCGTCCAGCCACGTCCATGGAGCCCAGTGTAGACTTGAGAGGTAAATTGGTGAGCACAACGATCGCATGCGCCTGGAAGTAGGGGCGTAACTTGGTAGCGGCGGTCACGACTGCCAAAGCAGCCTTTTCAATAGGCGCGTACCGCTTCTCGTGTGGGCCCATCATCTTGCTCACATAGTACACCGGCCTCTCTTCCCCCGTAGGCGCCTCCTTGGACACAAGTACCGCACTAACCGCCACGTCCGAGACCGCAATGTATAAATACAGGACCTCCCCGGCCTTGGGTGCCGTCATGACCGTGGGCGCCGCCAGTAGGCGCTTCAGGTCTTCGAACGCCTCGTTACACGCCTCGTCCCATTGGAAACGAACCGCTTTCTTTAGGATCCTGAAGAAGGGGGCCGCTTTGTCGGCCGACCTTGGTATGAAGCGCCCCAAGGCTGCGAGGCGCCCCGCTAGGCCTTGTACTTCCTTAGGCGTCCTTGGCGGAGCGAGTTTGATGATGGCCTCCACTTGCTTAGGGTTTGCTTCAATCCCTCTCTTGGTGATCATGAAGCCTAAAAACTTGCATGCCTCCGCGCCGAAGACGCATTTCAGGGGGTTGAGCCGAAGATTGTGAAGGCGCATGGTTTCAAAGGTCTCCCTTAAATCACTTAGGTGATCTCCCCGTTTACGACTCTTGACTATCAAATCGTCTACATATGCCTCCACGTTCCGCCCAATCTGCCGTTGGAAGACTGTATTCACCATGCGTTGATATGTGGCGCCCGCATTCTTTAGTCCAAATGCCATGACCCTATAGCAAAAGTTCCCGAAAGGGGTCATGAAGGCGGTCTTCACCCGGTCTTCTTCAGCCATGGGGATCTGATGGTACCCGGAAAACATGTCGAGGAAACTGAGCATCTCATGATAAGCCGTGGCGTCCACTAGCAGGTCTATGCGGGGCATCGGGTATGCGTCCGTCGGACACGCCCTGTTGAGACTCGTGAAATCCACACATCCTCTAGTCTCCTGATGGCTTGGGGACGAACACCACATTGGATAACCACGTGACATAGGTGGCCTCCTCAACAAACCCGGCGTCTAGGAGCCTATCCACTTCCACCCTAAGCATGGCCTCCTTTTCTTGGGAAAGGTTCCTTCTCTTCTGCTGAACCGGCCTCCTCCCTTCCTCAACTGCCAACTTATGCACAGCCGTCTCAGGCGCTACCCCGGGCATTTCTTTAGCACTCCACGCGAACAACTCCGCAAACTCTTTCAACAGAGCGACCAACTTCTCGACCATTTCAGGAGGCGCCTGGACCGAAATCCTGATCTGCCTTTCCGGTCGCCCCTCATCCAAGGGGATCAGCAATTCTTCGTCGGCCGCCTCCGCTCTGGGCGCCTCCTCGGACGTGATCGTATTGATCCTTTGACTTTTACGCGGCCGCACACCCTTAAGCATGGTATAAATGGGGGCGCCTCTTCCTCTTGCGATGCCCACTCCCTTCGGCGCTATGAACTTCAACGTCTGATGACAAGTGGACGCCACCCCATTGAACAAGGCCAAAAGGGGCCTGCCGAGTATAGCATTGTAGGGGGAGGGGCAATCCACAATCCCAAAATCGATAGCATGAGTGACCCGCTGCTCTTCATCGCCCAAAGTAACAGGGAGGCGCACGCGCCCTATTACCTTCGCGGGCGCCCCTGAGAACCCGACGAGCATCGAGTCCGACGGTCGAATTAAGTCAGGAGACAAGTGCATGCGCGCTACCGTATCCTTGAACAGCACGTCCATGGAACTCCCCGTATCCACGAGCATCCTCTTTACCATGCACCCCGCCACTATTCCTTGAATCTCCAGTGCCTCCAAGGAGGGTACCCCATAGGCTTCATCAGGCACCTGGTTGAAACTAATGCACACCCCTTCGTGTCGATCCACCGATGCTGCTCTTAGGCGCCTGCTAGCTTCCAATTTCTCTCTCAAATCTCCGGTGCCTGTAATCGCGTCCACCGTAAGCCTCACCTTTTCAGGCGCCTTCTCCTGATCTAGCTCGAATGGAGGCGGGGGAAGATCCTCATTGGGCCCCGCTCGGGCCACATATGCCCTGTGCACCCTCTCTTCCGGTTTTTTGACGAACTCATTAAGCATGCCCCTGTCCACCAATCCTTGCAATTCAGTCTTCAACTGATAACAATCTACTGTATTGTGCCCCCGTTCCCGATGGAAGTCACAAAATCGATCCAGATTCTGTGGGTTGGATTGCCCCCTCATAGGCCCTGGCCATCTCACGTGGTACCCCTTATCTTTCACATATTGCAACACGTTCTTCGGCGAGTCGTTAAGCTCCGTGAATTGATTCACTTTAGGCGTCGGGCGCCCCTGATCATTCCTCCGCACCGGTGTGACCGATGCTCCTCCATAGAAGGGCCTAGACTCGGGCGCCTGTCTTCGTCCATCTCCTTCCTCTCCCCTAGGTCGGCGCCTGTCGGCCCGCCTTGATGCTAGCGCCTCCTCCAACACTATAACTTTCTGCACCCTTCGATCCAAATCTTCCGTAGACACCACATCCCTTTTAGCTAGCGCCCGACAAAGTTCCTCACTGGTGGTGCACTCCTCAAGGAGGACTCCAAGCACCGAGGGCTGCACGTCTCTTACCGCCATGGCCACCGGGATCCACCGCTCATAGAACTCCCTCAAGGTTTCTCCTTCCTTCTGCTTAATCTTGAATAGGGAGCCCACGGTCAGTGTGCGCCTCTTTCTACTTGCGAACTTAGCCAGGAACATCGCCGCAAATTGCTCAAAGCATTCTATGCGCCCTTCCTCGATCTGATGGTACCAATCTAATACGACGCCTGAGAATGTTGAGGGGAACACCTTGCATAAAGTTGCGTCCGAACTGTTGTAGAGCTGCATTTTGGTGAAGTAGCTGTTGAGGTGGTCGTCCGGGTCCGCCGTACCATCATAGGTGGGAAGCGGCGGAATGTTGGTACTAGCGGGCTCCATGAGCACGCTCCGGGCCAAAGGCTGCCTTACCACAAACTGTCGATGCGGGCGCCCCGGCATCCACACGTTCCTCTCTCCCTCAGAATCTCCATAATCGGCCAGGCGCCTCATGCTGGCAAGGCGCCTCAGCGAGCTGGACTCCCCTTCAGCTTCCATCGTGCGCTCCCTCTTCCTTGCTCCGGGGCTTGGGGCGCCCTCCTTCAACATTTCCACCTCTCTCCTCAACATCCCAATGGCCTCGTCTTGATCGGCTATGATCTTGAACAATTCCTTCTTAGTCACCGAGGCCTCATCTGAATCCGGGCGCGGGTCTTCACTTCCCTCATCCTCCCTCATGCTGGGCGTTCCTCCTGCTTCTTGAGACGCCTCCTCCACGTGTTGCTCCTCCATCTCGCTTCCACCCTCTTCCATTGAAACTAGGCGCTCCCTGGTTGTGTTGCCCCTTCCTGGCGCGCCAATTGTTGAAGCCCACTCGATCGGCCTACTTTTCTTCCGTACCAGCTGACTCCCTCCCGATGAAGCCTGCACTCACAGAGGTGGGCCTTGTGGCCCGTTAGTCCTCCAACGCTCAAGTCAGTATCTTCCTTAGAGAGAGAAGTGCTTGCAATGCACAATTTTTAGTGAGAGAAGCCAAATTGAGTAAATGCTTACCCACCTCCCTATTTATAGCCAATTACTGCTTACCTGGACCTTCTCGTACGGATTTCCACGTCAGCCCTACATTTAATGCGGGTGACCCAGGGCGCTTCCTCCGAAGAAGATTCCAGGCGCCCTCTCCGAGGGTCCACAATTCCCACGTGCATACCCGGGCACCTACGGTGCGAGTACTCCTAGGCGCCTAGTGCATGCAACTCCCAACTTGCTCCTGATCTAAGCCTGTGGGCGCCTATCATGGCCTACACCATCTTGAATGGGCTCACCTTTCCACGAACTACTTGGGCTTCCCGCCCTTTAATGGGCCTCACTACAAGGAAATGGGCCAAGCCCAGGGGTTTCATGTCAGCGGTTTCACTAACCGCTGTCGGGCTTTCTTTATTATGCTTTTGGCAGCAAACCAGTCCAGCGGTTCCTATATCCGCTGAGGGCCCATCGCGCTATTTATTTTTTTACGTTATTTTTTCCGACTTTAACGAAAGAGCTTTTTTGTCTTTCTGAAGCATTATCGAGAAGTTTCCGGGAAAGAGCAGAGCTCTTCTGGCCAGAGATTCCGCCATGAGTCGTTTTCTTCGTACACCTTGAACTCCGACGTGTTAGTAGTGTGAAGCCTTTTGCTGCTCCTCCTCTTTTGACCGATCATCACTACCACATTCTTCCGATCTTCTTCCGGTACTCTCTCAGAACGTAATCTCGAGCCTTATTCAGTTTTGTTTTTCGAGATTTGATTTGTGCATGTGGATAGATCGAAATGCAAAGTGCGAATTGGAGTGAAGTGGATCAGCATCGAGATTTGTATTTCGTCGTTCTCATTTTCCTCAATCGATTGCTTCTCGAATCGCTGGCAATACGTCCCAAGATCAACAGCAGTCGGCCATCTGGGATTTCGTCGACTTGTGTGAGTCCATCCCGATTCCTCTTTTATCAATTCGCTGGTCTCACTGAAAATAGATATGTTTAATCGCTTATCAAGACGAAAGCCTCTGTTGTTCTTCTTTCCATATGATAGAATCGAACTCTATCTCCATAGTTAGGGTATTTGACTGATTTATGAACCAATTGATCCCTTGGTTCTGATTCCAGAAGTTCTTAAGCTTGAATTGATGTATGGTTTGAATTATTTGTAACTTATGTGAGTTTCACATCGATGCTATAGTGTTATTGATCATTGGGTTGGTACAGAGCTAGATTAGGGTCCCCACCTTTATTTCTTTCTAGGTTTCATTCTCTAATGAGAGAAGGAAGCTTTCGCTACCTTATATAACTAAACAACTCTTTTCTTTTCTCCATTTTCCCTAATATGGGAATCCTATATTTCATTCATAATTTTGTGGTGGAAACTCATGTTAGCATGGTTCAATACACTTTCAGAGCAGAGCCCTTTTGGTTAGACATTTATATTCTCTCTCTTAAGATAAATGTAGAATCATATTGTAGTTCTGGTACTGTTAACCAGTGACAAATGGTGATGATTTTATTGTGCAGAAGCTAGGAAGTAAGTTATTTTAAGTTAGTTTTCTTGCAGTGTATAGTTTCTAGTATAGAGCATAATCATTACCTGTGATCTTTTGGCTCTATTTTATTAGCTTATAACATGCATATGGTTCTGGATTTAACTGGATAGTGTTTTTGATTTGTTGGTATAAACTTGTCCAGTAGCATGTAGGGAGAAGTGCATTTTAGTATTCTTTTGTTTGTTTAGACTTAGAGAAAGGTACTATTTCTTTCTTAACTATTGATGCTCCTAAATTATGTTTCTTCTACAAAATAATTACAGACAACCTGATATAGAAGGAAAACTTCCTCAAGAATCATTTGATGCTGCTGGTTTAAAGCAATACTTTCAAAGATAAAGCATGTTACAGGGTTGGCATAGTCGGGAACTTGCTTAAAGCATGTTTTCCTTTCCTTTATTCTCTAGCGTTTTGTTCTTCTTACTTTGTGACAAACAAAGACGACCAACCCTTGAAATGTTGTGATGAATGCAGAACTTTCAGAAATCAACTAATACGATTGATGTTGTAGTTCATTTGGATCCTGAGAACAAAGAGCTTTGGTCTGCTTTCAGGTAATATGAAACTGGTTCTTTTGAGTTTATCGCAAGAAACAAAGGGCATTATGGACCACTCTTATACTTACATGTCTATTTGATGCTCGTGATGACTGAATAAAAGTGAGAACTCCTGAATTATTTAGTAGTAGGGTTGATTTCTTTTTGAACTTGTCTTTTTGCCATGCAGGAAAAATCCCATTTTCATCTCAATATACGAGCAGGAGCAGGTATGCTTCTGAGGTGGGTCTTCTACAGATTGTACTTCTTCCTCAAATCAATATTAGTTGCTTCTTACTACTATGCTACAAATATGGTATTGCTTATCTGACTATAAATGTGCTTTGTAGCCATCATGTTCATATACAGGTTTATGCCTTTACTCTTCCTCAGTTATTTATCATTTCTCTCTTGCACACCAAATTCTGGGGGCAATCCATTCAACTCGACCCGGTAGGGGATCTGACCCTTGAGTTTGATGATGGTGAAATATTCTAGTGGAGCAAAGTATGACCTCTGGTTTCTATTGATCATCATTCACCTTTGTGTCAACTCTTTTGTTTTAGTTTAAAAGCTCATAATCTTTGGTTGTATTGGTTTGCAGGTCACAACCGCAACTCTTAATCCTATTCTGGGTAAAGTGTATTGTGATCATCGGGTTAGAAAGGCAGCATTGCACTTATTTCTTTGTTTTCATATTCTTTTGATTGTATGATCTCAAAGGACCTCCTTTGGCTTCTTCTAAGATGCAATGGGAAAATTTCAGGATCAATCAGTTTACCTTAATGAAGTTGTTGAAAGTTCAGGTGGACTAACACAGGTTTTCATTGTATTTCTATAGTCTAGTTTCCCGGTTTGGAGTAGTCCATCACTTGTGAAAGTAGAATTGACATCCATTTATTTATGGTGCCATCTTCAGGGGTGTGGAACCATTTGATGGTCTTATCCTACATCGAATCTCTTGGGTGGGCATAGTGAGATAGGAGAAGGTCAGTTTTCCTGCCTAATTAATGTGGATTAGTTGTTCCTTTTCATCTTGCTTCTTTGTTTTTTAATTTTGCTGGTATTTATGTTTTGTAAGTTTGGTAGTTTGTTGAGTACCAGTAAGGTAATTCTAGTTGGTGTAGATGGGGTAGGAAGTAACTAACTGAAAGACTGACATGTAGTTCTTTGTGTCTGTAGTCTACAGTGATTAGTTTGTTTCATTTCATTTGCTTTTATGCTTGAAAGGGTTGTATTAGTTTGTATCTTTTCATGTATATGTTCAGGACCAATATGGGTTTGTATGTCACTTGCTGTTGTTTCTCTTCTTGTTCTATGTTTCATGGATTGTTTTTTGTTGCCTTGAAACTTATTTCCCCTCATTTTCTGTGCTTATTTATCTGTTCCGTGCTATTAATGAGTTTGATTCTATTCTTTTGGGTGGCTTTGTAACAGGCTAAGATGTGTTTCAGATGAAAGCAATGTATTACATAATGTGGGTGATTCAAGAGCAAGCAAAGTTGGATGTTGTGGATCTTGCTTGAAATTCGTCCTTCTATTAGTTGACATTGTTCTTTTGATTTGAGTTGCTATTTTTTCAATTTCTTTATGATAATTTGTGCTAGGAACAAAGTGCATTGTGAATGAAGTTAGCCATCTATGGCAAGAGTAATGAGTGATTTAGACTTTTAAAGTTACAGAGAATTGAAATGCTGCAGCAGATAGCAGGGGTTCTAGAAATTTATGAGAATTTAAAATTTAAAATTTAAAATTTAAAATTCACTTGTTAACGTTTATTGACGCATTCTAGAACAGTGGCAAAAATTGTCTCTAAATCAAATTGCAGGGTTCCAAAACCGTTGCAAAAACATAGGTCACCGTTGGGAAAAAAAAAGGCTCAATGACACATGGGGAATACAAATAACGGCCATTTAAATCCGCTGCAAAGAGGCATTTTAGTATGCTATATAGTACCCATGCTTTAATATACTTACAGCCATTAGATCTTGTTATAAAATATCAGCCATTGGATTGAAGTTATTTAATTATTATTATTTTCATTTGTTGGACTGGTAACCTGTTGCACCGGTTCGTTACACAATAATTTAAAAAAAATTGAAATCCAGTCGGGGTAAAGGCCACCTTCGATCGGAATTCAGAGCTTCTCACCTCTTATCACACCATCTTCGACCATCGCACCCACGGCTGTTTACTCTTCCTTCGATCCTCTTCCTTCGATCCTCTCCACGCAGCTAGCGAGCCGGATTCCGACGACGACAGTGAAGGCGGCGAGCAGTGGGTGACGACGAGTAGAAGAAGCTTGTCGATTGCAGCATCTCTTTGACTGCGGCGAGCCGGATTCCGACGACGACAGTGAAGGCGGCGAGCAGGGGACGACGAGAGCGAGCATCTCTTCGTCGATTGCAAACGAAGACCCTCTTCCCATTGATAGCAAACGAAGACCCTGCACAGAACCCCCTCTTCCCATCGATAGCAAACGAAGACCCTGCACAGAACCCCCTCTTCCCATCGATAGCAAACGAAGACCTACCTCCTCCACCACAACTTTTTCCGGTTAGTATGCCTACAGTTCTACAATTTTATTCAATTTTCCGGTTAGTATGGCTATCAGTTTAGGGATTATATTGGGATGTTCTAGATTTACAAATTTCGGTAGGGGGATTGAAATTCCATGCTCGTTTTACCAGATTGAACTATGGATTGGTTGTTTAGGAACTTGACGAGCTGAAGAAGAATCAGTTTAGTTGTCTGCTGTAGGCGAAGAATCAGTTTAGTCATCTGGATTAAGTTGTATAGCATACTGAAGACGATGAGATAGGAGTGGGTATTTGGCCAAACTTAAGTGGCTATTAATGAAAGGCAAGACAGAGCAAGAGGCTGCTGCTACTGTCAAACGAGTTGATATGAACTTGACTTTCTTGCTGTTGTCATTGATCATGCGAATGAGTCTATGCATGTAGCCGATGATGGAGAAAATAATATATTGCTTATCAATATGCTCAGATTTAGGTTTATGAGTTTAATTGGTCATGTCCTTTTACCAGGTTGATGTCCTTGTAGTATCTTCTTTGTGTTTAGCTTGATAATTATCTCATGTTTTTATATGAATCACTCAGGGATATCGATCATTATGTTTTCTCATTATGATTGATTGGATGTGTTGGAATTGTGTTGATTGTTCAATCAGCCACCAACAAGTTGTTATGAATTTACTCTATTGTCACTCAGTTTCTGTGATGCTAGCCCTGTGTAGGATAGATGGCTGAGTGGTTCAAAGTGAAACATTAAGATCTGTTTCATTTGTTTTTACTCAACAGCTGATATGAGATATCTGGTAGCTGATGGTTTAGCATTATGGTAGCTAAATTTGCTGATAGGGCTATAGATGGAGAGAGGTCTTTGTCAAAGCAACGTGTTGTAATGTGGTTGTTGGTTGCTCCTCCATTAACCATACAACCATAGATTTCCTGCTAATAAAGTTCATTGTGAGTCGATTTACACATTGAAGCTTGAAGGGAGAGTTGTGCATGGTTGTGGTTGCCTTGTTGGGTAGTGAACAATTTAATCATGTACCAAAGAGGAAAATGCTTGTCACCAAGAAAACTCACACTTGGTGAAAGAGCCTAGGAAATAGCATGCATGAACCAAGCAAAGATCATGTGTTCTTTATGTGGTTTTCCACCATAGCTAAATGCTATCTCATGAAAATGATATCATAAATTAGTTTTGGAAACTTTTTTTGTTTACTTTTTCATAAATGGAAACTCCATTTCACTTGGAAAACCGGTGTGAGTTGCATGTGTCGAGAGAGCTATTGCCTTGTTGAGTTACATAATCGTCATTCCAAGCATGCAATTCATCTTGTCTTTGTGAGCGCTGGGAGAGGAGTCCTAATCATGTTCCCATTGTGGTTAAGCTAGCAACTATTTGTAGTATGCTTGTTGTGTGGATGTATTGTAGAAAAGGGTAATCGAAGCATTTGTCTTCTGTGATTCTTTGCATGAGCTTTGCATTAGTCTTATGTGATTCTTTGCATTCATTTGAGCTTTTTATTTCGTTTGAATGCTAGCTCCGTCTACGTTTATGTGATTAGTACCTCAGTTTACTATTAGAGCAAGATTGTGATGCAATTGATAGGTTATGTCGTGATTCATCAAGTAAACCTTGGACTTCATCTCCTCATGCTTAATCATTAGTTCATTCTTTCATGCATTCCAGTATTATTTTTCTGATTAGAGATTCATCTGTAAATATGCACTTCTCACGGCTCATCTGTAAATATCACGGGCGTGAGATTAACCCGTGATATGGTCACAGCTGAAACTCAAAAACACGCCTCACATATGAAAATATCACGGCCGGGAGATGTACCGTTAGATTTTTTTTAAAAAAGGGGGAGTTCCAGGGGTTTTCACGGGTTGGGTTCGAGAGTATCACGGCCGTGAGATGAGCCGTGTTTGTGTAATTGAATTGCTGGACTTCTCACGGGTGTGAAATTTCAAGAATTAGCCGTGAGAATATTTAATGGGTGTTTTTAGTTTCACGGCTTATTTTAACGGTCGTGATTTATGAAGCCAAAGCCGTGAGATTGTCTGGAGATATGAAAACTTCTCTTTGCTTCTCACGGGTCATGTCACGGCCGTGAGATTTTGTATTTTGGGTGAAATTTAATGAAAGCTGTGTGTTTTGGGTGAAATTTATATATGCCAATGGCGGATTTCATGGTTAATTAGTGTACTCAGGTGTTGATGTAGGGGGTTTTCAGTTCTTCTGGTAGTTAGAACTTGTATTTTGTTTGTACTCTTCGGCATGCTTATAATTCGTGTTTCAAGGCATGCTTATAATTTTTCTGTTGTTTTAATTTTGCAGTTTGCTAAAATTGTTCTATAATGAAGACGAAGAGGCATCAAATTTTCAGCACGCGATGTTCTCCTAGGAAAGTATTCTCAGTAGTCTCAAATTTAGAGGCTTGTCAATCAGAGGCCATTAGGAGATGTGGCTTTGGTCGTATTCTTGATGTCAAAGCAAGAAAGCTACAACGTGAGTTGTTGGAGAAACTTGTGAAGAGCTTTAATCTGGAAGAAAGCACAATTAAGGCGTATGGGTTGGAAGTGCATATTTCGGCCAAAGATTTCGAGCGAATTATGGGTGTGCCTGAGGGAGGTACTGATATCATCTTGAATGGTGAAGAAGTGGAGGGAAGATCAGAGGAACTGGAACCATTTAGAGTGTTTTCGACACGTGAATGTGGCCGACAGGCGATTTCCACAAGCTTAATGAAGAAGGAGTTGTCGAAGATGAAAGATAGCGACGATCTATTTCTTCAAATGTTTATTTTGTACGTAATGGGGGTGCTATTAGTACCAACTAGAAGAGAGGACATTTCCTTGTCTTCGGTATACGCTGTCACCGATGTTGCAGACATTCCGAAGAAGAATTGGGCATCCTTTTGCTTCAATGAATTGGTCAAATGCATCTGCGACCATAATGCTTCTAAAAGAGAGTATATACCGGGTTGCTTGCTGTTTTTGGAGGTAAATAATTGTTAATCCCGACTTTCTACATATTTGTAATGATTAATCATCATGTTGATTATAGTATTTTTTTTTTGTAGTTAATATTCTTGGAGCATGC